TGCTCGGGAAATAATCAGACACGGGAAGGGTTTTTGTGGCTCCCGGTGTTTTCTTATGTGTGGGAAAGGGGTCCAAATGGCTCTTTTGAGTGTTTAAGGTAGCCGACCCCTGACTCAGATTTATATACCACTTTATAACCCTCTCCAAGGGATTAAAAAATCAGCCTATTCCCCCCAACAATCTGGATCCTCATTTTACAAAAGGGCGGAAGGCTGAGTCAACCTTGATCTGGTGAGCATTGAACTTTTGGCAATGGGCAGAATTAGCCTGCAGTACTGCATTCTAACCACTGCACCACCATGGCTCTTCGTGGCCACGTCCTCCATGTGCTCACTTATCCCCTCTTCCCAGTCAGCTTCTGAAATACAAGGCCGTTTCTGCCCCCCCAAATTTTCCTCCCCCCCTCAAACGAGGCTTCCCCAAAAAGCACGAGGAAGAGTCCTGGTCCCGACAAAACCCTTTTTATTAAACGAATGTGAATTCCTCTCCTTCACATTCAGTGAAGGTCTGGCAAACAGTTTTTCAAAAGAGTAATTATGACCACAGACCTTATCTAGCTTGGAAAGCTGCCATGTAAACATTTTCCCAAATGAGGTGCTGTGCAAGGAAAGACTGGGCACAGAGTCTCTGAGATTCACGGACAGATCTTCACACTCCGGAAACGAAGCTAATGACGGACCGAACAAATTGTTTCCTGCAAAAGCCCCCTCCCCTTCCACTCCTCTTTTATTCCCTATGGGAGGGGCCATTCACCATCCACCTGTGGCTTTACTCCCAAGTCGAACCTGATTTCTGAGCTGTTCTTGTCTTCTGCATATGCGCACACTGGGAACAGGCTCCAGCTGTTCCTCTGCCTCGCTGGCGTCTACCTCCAAAGGCAGCTGAGAAGTGCCAGACAGCCTCGGCCCCGTCTCTGCCTCTGACACAGAACCCTCATCAGAGCCTTTCCCAGACTCCAGGACTGGCCCATGTTCCTCCCCAACCTGCTCACTGTCCGAATCTTCTGCCAGCTCCATTGGCCACTGGCAGGCCACAACAGAACCCCTCACTTAGCACGTTGTTTTGCCTTTCGTTCTTATCTTCCCAGGTGAACATGATCGTGCTTTCCAGGGATCTGGGCATCCCCAAACCGTTTGGGCCCATCATCGAGGGCGAGTGTTGCTTGGAGCAGAACGTCTCCTCCATGCTGGAGCCCCTGGGGCTGGCCTGCAGCTTCATCGACGACATCTCCTCCTACCACAAGCAACTGGGAGAAGTCCACTGCGGCACCAACGTCCAGCGGAAGCCGTTCACCTTCCAGTGGTGGAAGGCGGTGCCCTGAAGGGGCGCCACCGTTCACCTGGAAAGTCGAGAGGGGACGTCAGGTTTCAGACACACACTTTTTGACCCTCCCGGGCGCCTGGTTGACCTGCGTGAGCGGGAATCTGGGCGTCTTTACACGCCCGCTTTGAGAAGCTGCGCGAGTCAGCAGGCGCCGCGTGGTGGTGGGGGAGAAACTGTTTGTCTGAACACTGCAAGGAAGCATGTTGTGTTGATTGGACCCAGTGTCTAGGCTCTTCTACGGAGCGTTGCAGGGCCCAATCAGGTGTCCTGACTGCTGTGTGTATGGTGTGGGATTTCTTTGCCCTCCCTAAATTAATCTTCAGCATCCCCCCCCCTTCCTTCCTTCCCCTGATATGTAGCCAAGAAAAGGGCCCTTATGCAGGGGAGGGGTGCGTGTTACAGCTCTCGGCCTTTGTTGTGGGAGCCCACTTTGGAACAACAGGAATAAAAATGAGGCGACAACGGTTGTGGCGTGGCCCAGTGGTGAAATTCAATTTTTTCTCCTACCAGTTCTGTGGGTGTGGCTTGGTGGTCATATGACTGGGTGGGCGTGGCTTGGTGATCGTGTGACCGGGTTGGCATGGCTTATTGGTCATATGACCGGGTGGGCGTGGCTTGGTGATCAGGTGGGCATGGCTTAGTGGTCATATGACTGGGTGGGCGTGGCTTAGTGATTGTGTGACCGGGTGGGTGTGGCTGCACAACTGACACACACAATGTAAAAGCAGCTGAACTTCACACAAAACAGCCCCTGCAACAAGCAGGAACCTCACAGAGAGCTCAAAAAACCAACTACCACACTTTACACAAAAATAACACAAAAGCTGCACAACTGACTCACACTCAACGTAAAAAGCAGCTGGACTTCACGCAAAAGGGCCCCCCTGCAACAATCACAATCAGGCAATCAGATGATTGTCGCAACGCTGATCGTTGAGAACTTTTTAAAAACTTTTCAAAGCATTTCTTACTATCATCCCTCCCACCATGCATTTCACCCCTGGCGTGGCCATAATTGCAGCGTGCGTGTGCAAGGATTTTGCAGAGTGCGATGTCCTTTCTGAAGGGGGGGGGGCGGAGGATTTGCAACCGTGATTTCGTATTTTTATTATTCCTTGAACAAACATCTTTGGCCGCTACTATCAAGACTCTCTGTCCCCCTCCCCACACGCAGACACAAATTCATGCACCGTTCACACAGCCAGAATAACAACTAGCGGGGGGGGGGGGGATTTGAATGGTGGGGTTTGGGGTTGAAATGGAAAGCTTTACAGCTTGGATTGGAAGGGCACACCATTGTTTCTGGAGAGATGGCTTCTGGTGTGGGAAAGAGCCCAAGGGCATCGGGAGGGAGTGACAGAGAGACCAAAAACAGGAACGCTTTCAGCAGTGGGGAAAATCTGTAGTCACTCCCCCACCAAATCCCTTAAACTTGATTAATTTAGGATAGAATAACAAGAGTTGGAAGGGACCTTGGGGGTCTTCTAGTCCAACCCTCTGCTTAGGCAGGAAACCCTCCACCACCTTCAGACAAATCGTTATTCAACATCTTCTTAAAACTTCCAGTGTTGGAGCATTCAGAACTTCTGCAGGCAAGTTGTTCCACTGATTGTTCTGTCAGGAAATTTCTCCTTGGTTCTAGGTTGCTTCTCTCCTTGATTAGTTTCCACCCATTGCTTCTCGTCCTGCCCTCAGGTGCTTTGGAGAATAGCTTGATTCCCTCTTCTGTGGCAGCCCCAGAGATATTGGAAGACTGTTATCATGTCTCCCCATGTCCTCCTTTTCATTAGATATACCCAGTTCCTGCAACCGTTCTTTGTATGTTTTAGCCTCCAGTCCCCTAATCCTCTTTGTTGCTCTTCTCTGCACTTTTTCTAGAGTCTCCCCATCTTTTCTACATCGTGG